GAACGGTTACTTACATAGGTCCGGAGATTATGCAAATGCATTAGCGTAAACCGAGACAGGTGATGGGATCCCAAGGATTAGCGCGACTATCTGCCGGGGTATAGAAATTACGCACGTAACATCGTTGCGCATATGATGATAAAATGTGATGCTGCAAGATGCAAGACACAGCAGCACAGAATTTACAAGGAGTGTAACTCCGGGTGCATCCCGGCCGGCTGAGTCGCCTCCATCGAAAATCCCGTTGCTTTTCTCTTTTTTCTTCTTTTCTTCTTTCATTCTCGTTTTACTGCATATTTCCTCCATTCCTCTGGTTTTGCGTGACGACACTAGGTTCCTTTCGATCTAGGCAATGTACCGCACGAATGTACGCAAACTTCTCAGCACCTTCGCACCCACCCTTTATACAAGTATACGTCAAATGTGCAGCCACTTTGGAACTTTCCAGCGAAATAGCTTTTAAGAGAGATTCACTTATTTACTGGCTCTCTGTAGTTGCTTCTACGAGGAAGTTATTTAAAACACAGTGGTTTTATAGCGGCGACTCAAGCGGGAGGCTGGAAAGGAAAAGTCAAGAGCTGATTCCTACTCGAACGAGGAAGAACCGAAAACCAAAACGGAAAGGATGCATTTGATAGGACGGATCAAAGTTGAAAGGCGTTTCATTTAATTTACGATGCTCGATTGCGTGACCTGTAGTATAGAAGTCGAGGCTGACGTATCGAACTGTATCGAATCGCACTAGGTACGAAGACTGTGACGATGAACTTTGTACTTTGCTATTCGAGAATGTTAGACTTTTTCTATACCCGTGACAGATTTTGGTCGTATGTTTGGTGAACATGCTCGCAACATGCGATATTCTTATCGGTTATACATCCATATTTAATAATTTTTACTCGGAAGAACGTGGAGGCGTCATCTCGATCAAGGACCTACGCCAAGCCAATGACTATAGTTGCGGTTTCCACCTTAATGTGGAAGGAAAAAAAAGGGACGTCTCGTAAATAGCGCCTTGAGGGCGGCGCCCGCGCGATGCTAGACGTTTGTCGAAGCCATTACGTGAGGCAAACATTTGCGCTTTTCCCGCGGTAACGAAATTTCGAAGTTTACCGAGTAAATTGTAACCTAGGGGTATTACACCGTCTCGTAAATTCACTCGCTGGGGATTTCAAGGGGCGAAAACTTTTCTGGCTCAGCTTTTCGCTATTTGAAGACTCGGGGCGACGATCCTTGCATCGCGGTGTTGCTCTTGCTACTCGATTGAACAGTGTCATCCAAATGAGAGGGCGATGCCCAGTTGCGCACAAACCCAATTGGACACAAATGTCAATTTCTCTATTCTGAGCGATATTCCATCAATTATTCAACGGTATTGTAAGTCATCGTTATCTGGCGATATATTTTGAAACATTTAATGCTATATACTTATCCACTAATCTACCCAGTCTTCGAAATTTGAACATTCCACCCTATCCTAACCTTACCTAACCAAATCTAACGTAAACTAATGTAAAACTATATACCATATAATATAATATGACATCGTTCGTATCTAATTCTATTCTGTCTATTTAAAAGTGGACAGAATTTGCAGTAAAAAGTAATTTCTGTCCAATTGGGGTGTGCCCTTCCCCCTCTCCCACCCCCTCTCTCTCTCTCTCTCTCTCTCTCTCTCTCTGTGTGTGTGTGGCTTCTCTTATTGCTCCTCTGTCCCTTCGGTATGTATCAATGAGATATCTTCGAGCCTCTTGTAATCTGTATTTGGCTCTTTCCCCTTCGAATTAGTACGTTTCCGTTTCTTTGTGCTTAGGCAATTACCTATTCCACCGAGAACCGACAAGACTGTAATAAATACAAGTCGTTGAATATATTAGGATTTATTTCGTCAAGTTCAGCAGTGGTTAATTTAAGGCCAAGAAATAAGTCAAAAAGGAATTTCTGAGTAGAAGTTGCTGAGGGAGGCTTAATTACTTCTATTAATCTCAATTAACGCCGTATAATTTCGAATTCCATTGCGTGAATCCACCTCCGACCATTTGCACAGTGAGTTACCGACCCTTCCTATCAGTTTCATCCTTTTTCAGTATTTTTTGCTTTTCGTCGATTCAGCTTTCTGTACTCGCTGCCTACTTAGGAAAACGAAGTAAGAGTGTTCCAGTACTTATTGTTAGTTTCCAGGGATCTTTTCGACACTTAAACCGCATGAAGATCAGCAGAATCTCGGAGAAGACGAGCCAGAAGAAATAAGGGAAAAAGTGGAAGCAAGCTCCGTCTGAAAGAAATGATAAGATGAGAAGATTGCGTGCGAGGTATATCTTAAGATAATTATCATCGTTGCGTAATTGAGCCTCGAAAGGCCGGCCGAAAGACTCGCAACTCAACGGCTTTGATTCCGAGCATTTATTCGTCTCTTACCGATCCACCCAGTCATTTGCTTGTTTTGCTCTCTTTCTCCTCCATCGGAGCCAGAAGCACTGCAGTCTTCCCATCCTCCCAAGAAATTCGATAGATCACGGTAAATGGGCTAAGGAACCGAAAAAGAATGGGTTATCCGGCGCGAGTCGCTCCGGGGCTTCTGTCGCTCGATAGATCACCCATCTAAGTGCACTAAATGTCTCTTTTCCCGGTTCTGGTTATTATGCGGCAAACTGCGCTTGCTTCTTTTTTCGTACATCGAACATTTATCAACACTACGACGTCATGCTCAGGAAACTCGTATCTCTACGGGATGTTTTGCCTTTACATTCCGTCCGATCCCTTTTCACCCTTGTCTCCGTTGTTCCTGTTGCATCATGGATATGCTTAGCGCAATAAAGGATAGTCGATCTCACTGAAAATGATGCTTGGTTACCGATGGTCAAATCAAAGGCCAAATCAAGCGAGACGACAGGGAACATGGAGGAAACTACAAAGGGTGCGTCAACGCGGATTCACGAGGATCGATTTATTAAAACCTTAAATGGTTGGCTTGCGCCGATAGTGCGAGGTGGTGTCTGCCTTGATTAGTAGGAGTATACCAAAGAACTCCTGGTGCCCAGACCGCCAACGTGACTTCAATGTAAATTCGTTAATGTCAAAACTTTGAAAGTCGACAAATCTGAGGCGAATTCGAAAGAGCAGCAACCTTTCACGAGTCGCAAGAAACGAGCAGGCCAATTACTCGGTTGTTTGACGAGAGCTTCCCTTGGATTTATCCTTTTCGGTTTCCCCTTTCTCATTCCCCTCGACCTACCCCACGTAGGATCCCACTTCAATCTCCTCTGATCCAAAAGTTTGTTTTTGACCTTTCAAGATCGGTAGAGAATGGAGCAACGGTTCAACATATCCTGCACTCCGGTGGCTATAAATAAATAAATAACTGTGTGGTATTGGGTTTGGGTTTGGGTTTAGGTTTAGGTTTAGGTTAGGGGTAGGTTCGTTTAGGCAGTTAGGCACGATGAGTGAACCGTCTCCGCGTCCATATAATACTATTCTAGTCACGTTGCGCCATACAGAAGTAAGAGATGAACTCCTTTGAGGGTGTCCCGTTGCCTGAGGGTGCTCTTGGGGATACGCAAGTCCTGCGTATGTTGGCCACCCAAACAACCAGAGGATAACCTGGTGGAATAAGGAAGCGGCAATGATCTCTACGTGACCAGTATATGTTCTCGGAATTTTTTAAACTTTGAACCTTCCTAATCAATCCCTTGACATTCAAATACTTTGGTCTCACGCTTCCAATCTATACGCAGCTTGACATTTTTTTTTGTGTCTGACGAAATCTCTTTTCCGTTTAAAATCTGAAACGACTTTTCGAATCTTCCTAAACGTACCTGATTCTCTCAGTTCGTCACTTGAGTTTCCATCGAATCGTTTGATTATTCAATAACAGGTTTTACAAGGATAGCAGAGAACCATCGAGGTCGATGCACTGCAAGTGTCACTGCCCAATATACGTATAATAGAATGTATCCGAGAAGATGCTTAGCTGTTTCGCGGTAGGGTGTTTTCGGAGTGATGGGAGGTCTAGCGTGCGAGAGGGTATAGGTTAACTAGCTAAGTAACCGCACCCAGCGTGCACTCTCTAATCATCAAAGCCAGCGGAATGCTTTTAAACCAGTCCGGTTTACAGTTGCAGCCTTATTCATGGAAGCCTTGGTTAGACCTTTCATTATACTAATTACACCGTAAAGAGGAGGTGGATGGGCATGTAAAATTGTCCAAGTCTTTCTTTAGATAATTTAATTCTTTATGTAAAAAAAATTGCAGAGTTCTGGAAAACTCTAACGATTTTCAACAGACTAGTTTTGATATTTAGGGTTACCAGCGATGTGTCGGATATTGACACAGGTGAAATGAAGAGAAATGCGTGGGTCAATGATTTAATTTATTGGTAAAAGTGAATGAAATTAGAAAGAAGCTGACTGACTTATTTATAAGAAGATGCAATGCGTTGCAGCACTGACTATGAGTAGGAAAATAAGAGATTCCTTCATAAAATTAGATGTTTACTCTATTCATAATTGAATGATAAGCGACTATCATTTCGAAACAGAATAACTTGTTTTATATAAACGATGATCAGTTTGTAAAATAGGCTGACTGGTATAAGAAAAGGTGGTGTGTTTTAAAGAGAAAATGACATATTGGTAAGTGAACAGACTGACTGGGTTAATTTAGAAAGTCGCTATTTTCAATTTTGAAAGAAAGCAGTTGATTTTGGAAATTGCTCCTGTTTTTGAGACAGGTTGATTTATAAGCAATGTGTTGTAATTATGAAAAATTCGTTATGTTCAGAAATGAACAAATTGATTTGTGAAAGAACCGATTGATTCAAAATTTCATTGGGTTTGGAATACCGTAGGTGAAAATTGAGTACGGAATTTGAGACAAAGAAAATCTTATGAGAAAATGAATGTGTGAAAAGTAGTTGGAAGATAGAAGGACGTAAAAGACAAAGTTTTGCAACTACTCGTCAAAAGGGTATTTGTATAGAAATTATTTTATTAATCAAGCTGTAATTTAAAGACAATCCTTTTATTGATATGTACATACAATAAATTTATTTACAATTTTGTGAAATTTTGACAATGTAAGATTATTCGATCTCTTGGGGATATATTTTAACAAAATACTACAATTATTGTGCCGTGCTGATATTTGGAAAACTCTTTGGTCACGGAAGTACAATGTATAATAAATGGTACTAGTCGAATTTACCCTGCTCAAATATTTCTTTAAGAAGTACATCAACGGACATGGTAGACGGTCGATAAATCAATCTTCATCTACTATCTTATAGCCCAGCTCTCTCTCTCTCTCTCTCTCTCTCTCTCTCTCTCTCTCTCTCTCTCTCTCTCTCGCTCTCTCTTTCTCTCTTTGCGTACCGTCTGTACTTTTATACAAACATTAGGCTACCCATTACTAACATTAAAAAACACACTGACTGCTTCTTTCCGTAGGAGGTGCTCCCATCACCGTGATGCATGGCAGCAGGATGTTCCTCTGAAACAAAAATCGATTTGGACCTCAGAACTTCGGCAGCTCACTAGGACTTCATAATTCTCGAGTACACTGGATGGAAGGTAAGAAGAACCTTTACTATCCAACAATACTGATTGGCTCGCGTCCACACTCTATGAGAATACGGGTTACACGTTACTGGCTCTCGTTCGCGTTCCATTTCTTTTCCTCGTGATGATCTTTGATCCCCTCGCTTTGACCTTTGCTCCTTTGAGCAGACAAGACCCTTTGTTACTTGGAAAACCATTCGAGACGATTGAGGCTAGTCAAAAGAGACTAGTCAAAGAGGCCGAATGAGCGAGCAGCAGAGTCTCCTAGGTGACGTCGAAAAATACTCTGACTGCTCGCAAGGTTTTGGCAGCCGCATTTGCCGCTTTTCACGCCAGGACTATTTCAGTCGTGTGAAGCATTGAATTATTTCGTACTAAATGTATCTTAAAAAGTTTGAATAGTCTTTGAAAGTTTGCAGGGACGATGCCGATAAAGGGAATGAGATAATAATATTGAATGGTTGAATATTTAGAAAAATGTAACGGGGGCCCCCTTTCTCGTCTGCTCTTTCCTCCCTATCTCGATATTTGCCAGGCATCGCCTTGGAACAACGGCGGGCTATTGCGTGGGTAGTGAGTATCACCTGAGAGCACACTCACCGTTGACAACGTGTACCCTTATGCTGCTTGGATTCGCGTTGCTCGGTCCGCAGGTGTAGATTCCCGAGTCGGCCGGAACTGCTTTTTGGATCATTAATCGACTCGACGTTTCGGGACCTTTTTCCGTTACAAGGCTGATTCCCCCACGGGGAGAGTTGAAATTAATCTCCTACGCATAAAAAGATTGTATCATTTGAAAGAGCATCTTGTACCCTGGCCCGGGATCGGCCGATTTCAAGACCCTCGTCTCTCGCTCCACATTTTTCGCAAGTCTCATTCGAGCACTCGGTTCCATGTCGCCGAAGTTGCCGATGCTCCTGGCATTGCCACTATACCAACATTATTGCCCGTGTTTATCGATTCGAGCTTATTGAACATCACGAGGGAGAATATTAGGAACATCGAGGCAGGTGCAACTCACTTCTGTATTGTGGCTCCAGATCATCATAGGAGGTGGTTCCGGGGCATATCTCACGAGGCAAGTCAGGTTGATGGTGCTCCCTTTATTGACAAAAAGCTCCGGAGCTCCCACTATATTGGTTATTGGTTCTGCAAGAGAAAAGAATCGCGATGCATTCGATAATGCACCGAGTTAGTTAACCAAGGAGACGCTTCGGAGTTACGCTCTGCACGTTACTCGATATTCGATACTCAATGCATTCCGATAGGCGATCTATGTATAATGCGCATTGTGAGGTCGAACAATCTGGCTCACCGACTATCGTTAGGTGAACGAGATGTCCAATAGGAGGAGTCGTGGATATTTGACACTCGTAGATCCCGGAGTCCTTCCGTTGGGGATATCGTATCCTTAAAGTCCATTCCTCCGTATGAGGAGAGTGTAGTGCCTCGAATCGTTGGTCACTCGTATAGGTGTATCGACCGACCGTCAACAAGTGAATGTCTCGGTGTCTCATCCAGGACACCTGAAACTCACAAGATCCATCCTACCTTTCAAAGATCGGTGTCCTTCTTAGTTTCTCTATTAGCGAATAAATGTTCCTTCGACAAAGTATCAATTGGCCGTGTTTGCGTTTGCGTTTGCGCCAGCCAGACCTGCATGGTCGTAGGATATGACTCATGGCCTACGGCTTATTCGCAAGAGGGCCGGGGGGG